CGAGCTTCCAGCGATTGTACATCATTAATGATGGTCCCATTTATAACCTCCACACCTCACACATCGAAGTAAGTCGACTATACAGGGGCAAGCACGCAGATCAAGGCGCACCCACGGACCCGAACCCTAACAAAAAAGTGTTTCTCGCCCTGACATAATCGAGATCTACCCCCCACTTGACCCACCAACACTCGCAAGAGTCGTAGCTGCTCTCCCTCTCCGTTGTTGTTCCTCGTACGAAAGGCCGCAGCACCTCTAACACTTCTCGCATACATATCACATGTCCCACCACAATCACCGCGATAACACAGACTCACCTGCATGCACCGAGAACAAAGCATAGAATCCCGCGCAGCTCCCGTACCATCCACTTTCTTAAATGATTGTTCCATACAGCCCGCTTCCGATACGAGCCGGGTCAGAACTTACGCTCATCCATAATAGAGCACTCCGCGGGACTCTTCAAGAGAGCAGCGACCCGATTCATAGTTTGTCAGTTAGAGAATCCTAATACAAAACCGTATCTTTGGTACTCCTTCATGTCGATCACTAGTATCACTCAAAAACAAGATGACGAAACATATTCAACCTGCACAAATACCTACAAAAAACAACAAGAGAATACCTATCTACTTCACTCTTATTCTCTGCTACGCCACGCGCGCGCCCGCCACGGGCTATAGCGCCTCCGCGCCCGCGCCCCAGGGCCGCGGGTGCGACCCTGGGTTAGCCCGCCATCACACACCTCGACCCTAGTACCCTCCGGACGCCGACGTCCACCCGCTCAACCCTCCACTGACTACACGAGAGCTAGAGCTTTGGAGACAGGCTATAAGCATACACAACAGACGCGCGTACACATCGACCCGAGACGGTACACTACGGGACGATCCGTCATCGGACAAGGAGAGCCACTATACCGCGTAAATTGAAAGCGAGGCTACTCCGCGCCAACCATCACAGAACCTCAATCAATTACGGACTAATTAGACATTGCATTAAAGCCGGACCTTCTAATCCAAAAAAGCGCTACCTAAACGCATTCGACTTTTATCCAAAAGCGACTACAATAAAAGATAACTGTTGGTTGCTTTAACTCATGCACCATATATGGAATCAATTAATGGTAAACATATTCTGATAAACACTATCATGCAATCATCCAGATCAATGTGATAGTGTTGCATCCGAATTCTTGCTGGTACCCCAAATGGTACATTAGTGTTAACAAAAGACCGAGGATATACATCACAATGAACCATGGTTTCCACATTGCCTGCTCCTCCGCTGCTTCACTAGGCCAATGTAATGATCTCAACAAAAGTTATTATCCATCCTAAAAAAACAGGTAAGAAAATCGACTATAGAATACAGACAACAAAGCACCGTAGAGGCGAAAACATAAGCATATACAACGCACATAAACACAAGACCATCATCAGTCAGAAGCTATTTCGTTGTGTAATATATTATAACAGAGGATAAACATCATGTTATAAAACCATAAACCATACACAAGATAAGATTAATCACAAGCAAAAGACAACGATGTCCAGTCCTATCTACCAAAAAAAATCAAACACACAATCACGAATATACCAGTGAGGGAATGACCGCAGCAATCACAATCATTAGTAGTCATGAGGCGCAAAGTTCTAGCCTTATCACACATCTCCTCACAGAACCTATTGCGCTCGGCATACACACTGTCTGACACTCTCCGCTAGTTACCTCTCGCTCATCTGCGGCCCCGCGGTCCAGAGCCTCCACACAGCTCGCGCTAGATCGCCGCGACCTCCACAGCCAGCACTCGCGGGGAGACACTCTACTGCAGCGCCCGGAGCGCCCAGGCTGCAACGAGCTCATATCTATCCTCGTTGATACATAATTGGACTATTACATCCACATTAATCCTCATCATACAGAAATGTCTTCGACTCCACTTCCTCGCCGCGCGACATATCCCATCGCCATTTCCACACACATCTCATCTCACAAATGTCTACCATATATTAGCTCAGACAGACTCGTCCAGAGAATATTCCTTATTTGCTCTCTGGTAAGACCAAACGATAACCAAATTCCTCTGCCCACACTGGACCACACTGAGGAGTATCTAAGACCATCGTCTTCGTTTATTCCCCCAGCGAAGCAGTCAAGATCCACGTAACTATAATGTGAGCATACCTAATGGGTGTCACCACTACAATAGAGTAAAGATCAGGGAAACAGGCGCCTTCTCTATGCATATGTGTGTGTGTGCGCTGTGTGTGTTGATGCTGTGTCTGTGTGGTGTGGTGTGTGTCGTGCGTGCGGTCGTGCGTGCGTGCGTGCGTCGCCGTTCGGCGTGCGTGCGGCGTGCTGTATACAAAATCAGTATTACCTTACGTTTTACTACAGTACCAACTAATCATTTTCATATTGCAGAGATCAAATGTCCTGCTGAAAGGGAGAAACCGATTTAAACAACATTTTCAGTGTGGGACATCTCTCACACACACAACCCCCCGGAGGCGGCCGCGCACCGCGCAGACCGCGACTGCACACACCCGACACACTGCTCTGCTTTCAACT